AAAACTATATATTATTATACCCCATAACACGCAACTGCAGACACAGTCCATCAGGTTTATTATTTTCTGATAAGTATTATAACAATACAAAAAATCAAATTAGGTAACTATATTTTTATTTTTTTGAAACGTTATCGTCACATTAAAATTGATAACATCTAATGGCGTGGCCAACTCAAATATTGTCAATAACAAACCAATATCCGCTTCACTTATACCTACGCACCAGTGGCGTATGGTCAGGACAAACGAAGTTTACGCCACATGCCCTCCTAAAAATGAAGAAAGAAATGTATTTAATTTCTAATAACGATTCACGATAGGTAATAGGTATATTTATATCATGTTATAATATAGGCAGTCTTTTGAGTTTATATTATAAGATACGAGTATCTAATTTACTCCATTATTTGTAGGTATTATAATATTATGCTGTGTTAAAAATTAAAAATTAGTTATTTAGGCGTTGACAGAAGCACTCGTGATTTTGATACCCGGCTAGTATCATTATATAGTAGGTAGGTAAGGTAGGATGTGTTAGATGACGTTCAAAATTGTATTACTAACTGGTGTGGAGCCGTGGAGGTAAGGCTTCGATTAAAATTCCAAAACTAACAATGCACAAACGGGCAACGCTATCTATCAGTACGATGGCCATCGATTAAGATTGTTCAATGCAGCGAGTGCCTAGTCAATGTTAAGATAATATTATTATTTAAAAATAGTATACGAGTACCTAGTCGGTTTCAAATGAAAAACGAATCGATTCCACAATAGAAGACCAAAAATAAAAAATTCCAATACTTTTCATTTTTATAATACCTAGGAATAACTAAAACATATTGCAGAAAAACAATACTATAGAATACACGCAACACATGTTTTCTACAATATACATTTTGTTTTTGTTATGCTTTATTCAAAAATGAATAAGTTGAAGTTTTTACAAAATATTTATAATAACGTTCAATTGAATTTACTTAATTTAAAAAATAGTTTTGTATTTTTTAACGATAAAAAACATTTGTAATAATTGTCAACTTTTTTATAGTTATTTTTGATATTTGTAGGTAGGTAAATAATATTTTTTCAGAACAAAAAAGTTAAAAATATTAATATCGGTGTTTATTCGATCCTTCACAACTTATTCAAAATATTTTTTTTTTTTTATTCATGCTACAACTTCAACTGCTAAGGTTATTAGCTTGTAACAAAATTAGTATTTAGTACATAGCAAAATATGGTTATACAATAGGTTCTTAAATTAGATTATATACATCAATCTGTTTTAAAAATGTAATTATGTTGTTGGTGTTGTCATAGGTAGAGCTGAGGGCTTCAAAGAGGTTGTCAGGCAATTACTAAATATTTTAAAAATAAACAAAATACAAGCACTTATGAGCACTACAGCATTTTATATAAGCGTTTGAATAAGTGGATATTTTTCAAAACCATAATATTCACGAACATACAAAAATTATTTTAATTTTGAAAATTCATACAACTATGAATAATACACGACATAGCCAAAAGATTCGTGAATGAAGTGACGGAGATCACAATAAGAGTTCAAGATTTACTTAAAACAAATAAACCCATCATAATGACCAAGAAATAGCAAGCAGTACATATGATGGCAAATACATGCAATTTGTGTAAATGTAATTTTTCCAACAAAAACAATTAAGTGGCAGATCACTGTCACTTATCGAGTAAATTCAGGCAAACAAATCTTGAACTCTTCTTACGATCTCCGTCATTTCATTCACGAATCTTTTGGCTACGTCTTGACGAGACTCATTACCACGGAAAATAATGGGTAACCAAATATGGGTTATTGTGGTAAATTGAACTTTTCCAGCAGTTCTGCGGGAACGTTTTCTGTAGCCTTTACGACAAACCCGTAGCTCATCAGTTCATGTTTTTAAAAAGCTGTTGTTTTTTCACTTTTGCTTTCTTTACATTTGACAAGAACTGCCTCAAAATCGGCATATATAACTATTGGGTGTCGTTGAGTTTTATTCCAACCATCGAACTCTAGCATTGTACCGGGCGCAGGCATCTGAGGTAAGATAGGCTTGTGTGTTCCACATATCAGTATGTGCTGATCTAGTACTGCTTGTCCGCTTAGCGTATTTTTCTGGGGCTGATTGTCAAACGATGTGAATCAAGTAAGCAACGTTTGCAAAATATTACATGACCGTTATGTGATGTTTTTTTGTGCCCTAACAAGACGCGAGAAATTTGAGATGTATGTATAGTGGGTTTTATYTCCGCCAGTAATTAGTAAAAGATCGAAATGATCTTTTTTTTCTTCATCCACAACTTTAAGTGGATAAATAATATGTTTCTTATTCTTTTCATGTTTTAAGCCGACTACGTTTACAGAAACGTCTTATTTCTGTGATAGGTGTTGGTAATGTTAAATCAGAAAAATTGTTTTTTTCTTCGAGCGACGTGTAATTTTCGGCTACTTGATTTTTGGCATTACCAAAAACGTATTTCGCTAGAATTGCCCACTTTAAGCATTGTTGATCTGTGTTTTGAGGGTTGATTACAGCTTTTTTATTTCATTTGGTAAAGGAATGTATGACCCATAGGTGTATATTTATATACACCTAATAACAATCCGTTGTGTTTAAAACGTATTTCTGTTGTCATCAAATCTTGCGAGTTCAATTTAAATCACTTCTACATGATCTAGGAGGCTCAAATTTCGTATGGAGGTCTAGGGTCGGTGACAATACATGACCCCGTTGTCAATTCTTGAAAAAATTTTAAAAAAAATTTAATTATTAGATTGGTGGCACTATTCTTTTTATTTCTGTCATCTATGAACGTTGAGGTTTTTAGTGATTTTGCTTAGTAATAGTAAATTTGTTTATTTGTCGTCATGGAGCGCTATACAATTAAAAATAAAAAAATAATAATAATAAAAAAAAATTAAATAATTTAAAATTAAAAACTGCGTTCTTTATGAACCGCCCTTTATTAATTCTTTAAACATGAGAAATAAAGAGACCGCAACCAAACGAAAAAGGTGCCTTGAAGGAGCTCATCTAAAGTATCAAGAAAAGAAGGCTAACGAGGGCTCAGAAGCTAAAYGGGCAAGATTAGACAAAAATCATCAAGCCCAAACAAATTTAAGTGCTAAAGAAACGCCATCAATGAAAAATAAACGCCTTTTACAAAAACGCGAAAACAGGATTCAACAACGGGACGCAGAAACACCTCCTCAGAAAGAAGCCCGGAAGCAAGCGGAACATGAACGGTATTTACAACGTTGTGCAGCACAGACTCCCCAAGATCGAGAAGTCCATATGGAAAATATGCGGCAGGAACGTTCAGCTAGCAAAAAAGAGTTTGAAAATGCAATTAACACATTTTGTGAATTTTGTACAAAACGATGCTACCCAAATCAGGTTTCAACATTAAAATTTTCTAATTCTAAACCTACTTATTTGCCAAATGTATTACTTCAAAAAAATCAACTCTTACTTTGTCATCGCTGCAAAACTCATTTGTCTAGTCGAAAAAATACTGCACCTCCAAAAGCATTTTGGAATAAAATTGATCCTGGCATTATACCAAATGAAATCCTCCTTCTTTCAAGGGCAAAACAACGATTACTGTCGAGAATAATACCATTTGTTAAAATTATTAAGTTTGATGGCTTATATGGACAGTGGGGATTCAAAGGCCAGGCAGTTCTTTTTGCGCAAGACATTTTTGAGTTCAGTGAGCAATTACCGAAAATGCTGCCGAGGTCAACACATGAAACGGGTATTATCGTAGTTACCGAACGTCTGGAAAATCTAAACATTACTAGACAATTTTCAATAAATCACGAAAAAGTTTTTAAAGCTTTAGGTTGGCTAATAAAAAATAATCCACTATACAAAGACGTCCAAGTTAACCACAATGTAGAGCTTAACGAGGAACACTTGATAAGAATAACCCAACCAACAGAAAATATTGAAGTTAATCAGCCACAAGAAACAGCATACAAATATATAAATGAAGTATCAAGAATTTTAAGAGCATCTTGGCATCAAAATAGTTCTGAAATATTTAAATCTGACCATGCCGGGGTTCAGTGTTGTGCTATGGCGCTTTCAAATATTATTAGAGCATCCATTCTTCCACCAAGTACATGGAACACTCTTACTCTAAATAAGAATTTAATTAAGGGTGATAAATTATATGAATTAATCAAAACCCGCACAGAAGAATCGGAGGATGCTTACCCGATGGGAGACAATGGCTTTTTGCTGATAAAAAATTTTAAAGTAATTAAAAACAACTTCAGTATATTCGAGCAACTTTTTTCAATTGAATTCAATGAAGATCCTCAATTTTTTGGCAATATTAATGATAATATAAGTCGACAAAATAATGTCTCTACACTTACTGAAGCTTTAACTGGTTTATTTGAACAATACTCATTTGGAATAATAATTTGCTGTGGATATTCATACGGTTTAGCGCATTGTGATAACAAATATTACTTCATGGATTCGCACTCGTGTGGACCAAAGGGTGCCCGAGCAGGGCCAAACGGAAAAGCTTGCTCGATAGAGTGTGATACTTTGCAAGAGATTACACGAATTTGTAAAAGAGCGGTAGAGTCAAAAAATGCACAATTCACTTTAGACTATGTCAATGTTCAGTTTCTAGACGCTCAGCAAAATAATTTGAACCATTCACTAAGAGCAGTAAGTGTCGTTAATGCAGAAGTAAACCAAGAACAACCAGCAATATTGGAACAAACTAATAAAAAACAAACTAACTGGAAATTGGCTTAAAGTTATGAGACAACAATGGAAAGATACAGAATTTTTTTTTATAGATGAAATCTCAATGGTGCCGTACAAAATGTTATGTATGATTGACTCACGCTTGAAACAACTAAAAAATAATGAAGATTTTTTCGGAGGAATAAATATTTTGGTATTTGGAGACTTAATGGAGGAATAAATATTTTGGTATTTGGAGACTTAATGCAGTTACCTCCAGTTAGAGCTTCTCAAGTTTTTCAACAACCTGAACGTATGATTCTAGCTACACATCTTTGGCGATTGTTTTCGCTTGTCGAATTGACAGRAAATATGAGACAACAAGGAGATCAAACATTCATTGATATATTAAATGCATTGAGTGTTGGAGAGCTGATTCAAAGCCAAATTGAAATATTGATAAACAAACAAAGCACGTATGGAAAATTTGCACTTGAGAAGGTCTTAAGGATCTACCCAACTAATGACCAAGTTAACAATCATAATCAAAAAGTGCTTAATTATTTCAAAAACGAAGGTGTCAAGATGTGGAAAATCAAAGTTACATAGGTGGACATAAGATACATTAGTGGATTTGACGAGAAAACTTGAGAATGACAATAGCATTGACTCTATAATTCCTAAAGATGATGACAAAACTGGAGGTTTGCCAAAGGAAATTGAAATTTTCGTAGGAGCTAAAGTTATGCTTAGAACCAACTTAAATGTAACTCAAGGACTTGTAAATGGTGCAATAGGAAATATCAAAGAGATTAACTGGCCCAATTTTGCTAGAGATCAACTTTATGATGAATGTATACCAACATCAATTCGCATCGACTTTGGAAGAGATGGTATCCATAAAATTGAGCCCGTTAGTTCATCGAGTCAATCGAGCAGTTATGGTAGTGCTGAGCGTAGAATGTTGCCAGTAATTTTGTCTTGGGCAGTAACCGCACACAAGTTACAGGGCTCCAACATCGATCATGCTGTCGTTTATCTTGGACCAAGGCTCTTTGCAAAAKGACAAGCTTAYGTTACTYTTAGCARAGTGAAATCCTTGCAAGGCCTCAGAATTGAACAATTAGACTGTTCAAAGCTGATGRAAAGAGCACCATGCAATATTGACGCCCTCGAAGAAATGGAAAGAATGAGAAAAATTAAATAATTTTAATATAGTCTTACATATTTACTTACTATGAAAAAAAAAAATTAATAAGCTAATTTATACTAATTTATACTATTTACACTATGCATATTAGAACGTACCGTAAATAAAAAAAATTTCGTTTGTTCGTCTGGTACATGTAAAATTCGGTCACTTCTTTTTTCATCGCTAAACAGTCAGCACTATTTTGTAATACTTATTTTTCGTGTGCTGTTTGCAGTCGTTCAAAACCACGTTTGTTGTGAATTTGTGATTAATTGTCTGGTAACTATCGTCCGATTTTTGACGACTATTGGCATTTAGCGATAAAAAACGATAAGCTGTAACATGGCCGCTGTGTATCAAATTTTATTCCCAGTCTTCAGAATTGGCCCGATTTTAGAGATCGCTTTGTTACATTAGTAGATCAAAAGGCCCATCTGACTAATATTGAAAAGTTTTACTATTTGTTGGGCTGCTTGCAGGCAGGACCCACTGATGTTGTGAAAGGCATCACGGTTTCCAATGCTACATATGGCCCCTAGCTTGGTCAGCTCTGGTTAACCGTTATGACAAACCTCGACGATTAGCAACTACGTTGGTGTCTGAGATGCTCAATGCTGATAGTCACCAACAGGAATCTCCTACTGCGCTAATTGCTTTTCTCAACAAGTACGGTGAAAATGTAGCCTTGCTAAGGTCTCTGAACATCTCCGATCTGGGTTCTTTTTTGTTATWYGCAATYGCTGTTCGATGTTTGCCTGCCACTAGTCGCCGTTTGTTWGAACAGGACAACACTTTGGATTTTCCTACGATCGATAGTCTGCTAGACTTCGTCAAGGATCGGGTCGAGGTGTTGGAGAATGCTGGTACATCCATGACTCCCACAGTTAATAATCCCCAGCATAAAAACCAAATTAGTAGAYCCAAGTTCGGGAATAACAAAATAGTCGCTGCTAGCTCGAAATCTTCTCGTAGTTCTTCTGTTCYTCCAGTTGCGCTAGTGTCCCAGAAACCCTCTACAGAACCTCACAGGTGTGAGCAATGTGGTAGTAGYCATAAATTGTCGRCATGTTCCAAGTTCAAAGAACTGTCCATTGATGACAGGTATGCTTTAGTAAGCAGTCATCGCTTATGTATGATATGTTTTGCCAATAATCATTGGGCTAACAAATGCAAGTATTCGTGCTCCCTCTGTCATCGTCGTCTCAATCAATTGCTACATCGAGACAAGTAGCATGCCAAGGTTAATCCAGTCAAGCAGCCAGCTGTATCCTTAGTTAGTTCACAACGTTCCAGATCGGTTCTATTGGGTACAGCATCCGTTAATGTTCGTGACTTAGCTGGTTGCCTTCAACCAGTAAGGGCGTTAATTGATCCAGSTTCTCAGATTAGTATTATTACGTCTGATTGTGTTAAACGGTTAGGCTTGCATCGTGAAAGATGGACAGTTCCGGTRGCAGGTCTGGCAGGACAGTTGGTCCAATCTGTCGATGGGAGGGTTCAACTCTCTATCCAKTCAGCGACAGATCAGAGGTCGTTGGAGTTACCCGCTTGGACCTTACCCACCATCACCAGTTCTATGCCGTCAATCCCATTACCTAGTACTGTTCGGGACAGATGTTCCCACCTGTTGTTGGCCGACCCTAATTTCGACTCTCCAGCTCCGATTGAGTTGTTATTAGGTGCTGATGTGTTTCCGCAAGTCCTACGTCATAAACGTCAAAGTCTAGGTCCAGGGTTACCCACGGCTTTCGACACGATTTTCGGTTGGATTATTCTCGGACCACTTGATCAACAATTATTTKCTGTACCTCCTCAGTCCTTTGTTACCTCATCACTTACCACTTCCATCGAGTCGATGATGGAAAGGTTTTGACAAGTCGAGGAACCTGATGAAGCTCCATCATCATTCACTGATGAGGGGAAGTGTGAGGATATCTTTGCTAGGGAGAGCTATCGCGACGAATTCGGTAGGTTCGTTGTTCCCCTACCGTTTCGCGTATCGCTGCCACCCACGTTCCAAGGTTGTCGTCAGATGGCAGTCTCACACTTTGAGCGTCTGGAGCGCAAGCTAGCTCAGGATCAACCGTTGTACCTAGCATATAAGCAATTCATGATGGAATATGAGACTCTCGATCATATGTCTTTAGCTCAGTCTCCAGGTGCTTATTTCATTCCGCATCATGCAGTACATAAGATGGTGGGTGATGAAATAAAGTTGAGAGTAGTTTTCGATGCGTCAGCTCGACCTTCGTKTGGAACTTCTCTCAATGAAGCGTTATTTGTGGGTCCCAAGCTCCAACAAGATATTGTAGATATACTACTTCGTTTTCGATGTCATCGAGTTGTGTTCACCGCTGATATTTGCAAGATGTATAGGCAAATCCTTGTAGATCCCAAGTACTGCCAGTTCCAGCACATCTTGTGGAGAGACTCGTCGCAAGAGAAAATACGAGAGTACGAGTTGAATACCATTACCTACGGTGTTAGCACTGCACCTTTTTTGGCGTTAAGGGTTCTTCAGGAGAGATAGCTACGGTCTATGCTAAAAAGTACCCTCGAGTCCAAGCAGCTCTTTTGACCCAGACTTACACGGACGATATATATGTACTGGTGCGAACACAACAGAGGAAGCACGAGACCTTCAGTATGATCTTATTTACGTTCTCAGTCAGTTCGGACTAAAATTGAAGAAGTGGGCGAGTAATAAACCTCAGCTTTTGGATAATATTCCGCTCGAAGACCAGGCAATTGGACCCCTTCCCTT